CCGGCCCGGTTCACTCTGCGCCCTGCCCTGCAAACCCGGGGCGCGCGGGCGCCAGGCCCCGGGACAGCCCCTGCTCCGGCTCCAGGCGTGTCAGGGCAGCTGGAGGTTGGTATCCGTTTGCTTTTTAATTCAAAAATAAAAGGTCATGGGAGCAAGGGAAAAATTGCCCTGAAAGCAGCAAGAAAGACTTGTGTACAAGAAGCATTAAGGCTCCTGGGCTTTACAGGAGGGTCTGTAAAGCAGGGCCAGCTACAGAACAAGGCTGTGGCAGAAGTTTACATTCCACCTGCCAGACACCAGCACAGAAACCAAAAGGAAGGAGATGGTGGATCCCGAGGAAAGGAGCCGTCACAGAGTCCAGGCCAGCACAGCTGGCACAGTCCTCCATTCACCGCCGAGGGAAGATGGCAACGTCCCAGCCTGCTGAGCTTCAGCTCCTGCCCCAGAGCTCTGCTTCTGGGAAGCCAGTCAGCTCCCCAGCCTCCCTGAAGGGCTGCACACCTTGCCTGAAGGCCAGCTGGTACCTCAGCCGGATGGGATCCTGCAGGACAGGAATGGAGAGAGGGGCACGTTGCAGCTGCAGGTTCCTGGCCCCTCCAGCCTTGCTGCAGGGAATCCCTCTCTGCAAGGGGACAGTAACACTGCAGCTCTGCAGAGAACAAGACCTGGATCTTCATAAAAGTGGCTGGGAAACCCATGCAACCAACCAAGGGCAGGCTCTGCAATCCAGGCCTGGCCAGCCTTCCCAGCGGCAGAGGATTCCTTAAACCAATCTTCAGTCTCATAATTATTCATCAATACAACAGAACTGCCACCCATTGTCTGTGCCTTGCGTGGCCTTGTGTCCCACCAGCTGCAAACCCCTGTGCTGGAGCCATCTCTGCAGGCAGACTGAAGCAGAACTGTGCAGGCCCCTGCAGCAAAGGCCCATTAGATCCTTCATAGCTCTGGAAAGCTGTTTCTGTGGGAAACCTGTCTTCCCAGAACAGCCCAGACTGCTCTGTCTCTCCCCTGCCATCTCCGTGTCACACAAATACCCCTCCCAGCACAGGGACATTCCAGTGCCCCACCAGCACCCTCCATCACTGCACACACCTTGTGTGGATTGGCAAGCAGCAGGACCTGGGATACCACTGCTGGGGGCAGAAGGGGGTTGAAGGCAGGCAGCTCAGAGCCAGATGCTGGCTGTAACTTTATTTTCATGGTCTGAAAGAGAAAACAAAATGAAAGCTTTTTTGGTCCATGCTGAAAAAGGGCTGGGAGTATCACCACACAAGAGAGTCACCATTCAGAGAAGCAAGCCATGCGATTTCCAGGGAGCAAGGCAAATCCTAAGCTAGCAATGGCAAACCTTCTTCTCAGGACATTTCTGAGTAGTCCCACTCTGCTACTCGTCACAGGCTCCTCACCTTTGGGACTGCAGCTTGGAACACTATGTCCTTAATTGGTTGAGCTGATGTGCTCAGCATGGAAAGAACCATCACCAGCACATCTGGTCGGCCAGGAGCCAGGTCTCTGGAGAAGTGGAGCATAGCCTTGAAACCATTCCTGTCATACACCGTGAGTGGGCAGACACTGCCTGCCAGAGACAACAGGAGAATTAGAAACAGAAACATGGATTCCCCTCCCTTCTGTGGGCAGAACAGCCAATGTATACAAACTTTCACTTCCTCCAGCAAACTCACAGTGTTGAATCAAAAAGCAGAGGTGGAAAGAGGAGCTCTGCTTTAGGAAGCAGGACAGCTCCCACCCACAGATTTTAAGCTTCTGGAGAAGAACTGTGAGAAGCTTTATTACAGGCGCTAAGGGCAAACAGTTTAGAAGCACAAAACACAGGTTAGCCAGGGCAGAAAACTGCTGACTGCCGAGTGCAGAGACATGTCCATGGTACAACCCCTGGCACTTGTTCAGATACATGAAGTCCCTCACAGAACAGCTGTTACTTTTCTCCAGCTGACCCACACAGCATGAAGCTACTTTGACTTCCTCCCCAGCAAAGATCACAACAGAGCTCCTGTATGCCTCTAGGAAGCAGAGTTGGGGCACAGAAATCATTGTACTTACTTGGTGTAATTGAAATTAAAGGGACAAAAAGGTCTTCTAGAGAAGCATCATGGGAAGCTGGATGCAAAGAGGCAGCATAGCCTAGGCTGGAGAATGAAGTGTCTGCCAGTGAGCTATTTGAAAGGTCTGGAAAGGGCAATTTCCTTGGTGATAAATCCCTGGAAAGAAAAGTATGTAGAAAGCTTGTATTAACTGGGGAGGCTACCTAGCATACACCATCATCTGCTGTGTCCATTTGTGTTCCCAGTCCCTCATCCCTTTTAGATATAAAGAAAGGACAAGCTTACACTCTCTGAGTTCTTGAGATATTTGAAAACTCTTATATTATATGGAAGAAGCTGCTGTTTCAGCACATTAAGGCAGACTTAGATTTCTGCTACTACCATGAAACTGTTTCATGACTTTGGAAGTCTGGTCTCTGCACACAGACTCTCTGGAGCCCTGGTCAGTGAGGTTAAATTTGGTTCAGAATCTGTTGGCCTCCACTGAACGCCTGGAAACTATATTGTCACAGCCTGAAGAAAGCTGGGCAAAGTACTTTTTGAGTCATAGGTTATTGTAAAAAGACCTGATTGTAAGGTTTCTGTTCCTTTAGCTCAGGATCACCTTGTCACTAAACCATGGGATTTGTCTCTCCAGGGTTCTGACCATTGGAAAGTCCTCATCTGTAATTAACAGGTGCAATAACTCCTGCTTCAGAGCCAACGTGCAGATGAACAGCTACTTGAAAGCCTTTCCTAAACCCCTCCCCTCTAACACAGTTCTGCTCATCTCCAAAGCCAGGCTGTACTGGGACAGTTTGCTTACAAGGATAATGTGTGTGTCCTGGATGGTGGAGAGAGCTGATCAGCCAGGCCCTGGAATTCACTCTCCTCTGCACAGCTCTCCTCCAGTCCCCATGTCTGAACAGCACTTACGGTTTCACTGTGTCCATTGTGTGCAGCAGCCTGAAAAATAAGGCACTTCTGGTTCATGCTACAGAAACATTAGCAAAGATCAGGCCTGTTCCACTGAAAAGAACCTCATTTTTAACAATGCTACTTGATGTCAAAGCAAATACGAGTGATCTGGTTGCAAAATGCACTGAGAAATTAATTGCAGAGCAGGAGGATTCCAGTTTCCCTTCAGAGTAGTGTTGTATAGAGAGGCTGCTAGAGAAAGCTACATCAAGAATCTTGTCTGATTTTAGTCCTTTGTACCTTATGGACTAAAGTATCTGAGGATCACTCACCTCTGCTAAGCCAAAATCAGGTGGTGGCTTCTGTACAACAGGAGAGTTGCTGAGACCTAAGAAAGATGCCAAAATGCCACTGCTCAATTACAGAAAACGAGTTCTCTACTAGTTCTTCCTTTGCTGTCTAACAGCAGTTTGACTACAGGCTGACACCGTTAGACAAACGACGTCATTGAAAACTTAAGACACTGGCTGAAAGGGTCTCCTTTCTCTTAGCACAGACATTAAAGCCAAAGTTCTCCCATCTTCATTAAATGCCATGAACCCTAGTGACAAGGAGAACACTGCACAGAAACGCACATACAAACCTAAAGCCTTCAGCTCCTCATCGAGCAGACAGGTGGAGGTGGTGCTGCCCCGCTGGGAGGTGGTGGTTGTGTTTGCAGACTGATCTGTAGGAGACTGGGATGTCACCTCCAGTTCTGAGAAGTCAATCAGTGTGTAGCTCCTCACATGCTGTGGGGCTGGCTGGCAGGCTTGGGAACAGCAGAGAGGGTTAGAGAGAAACGTCCTGAAAGGAACAGTGTATAGTAACAGTGCCCCTCTAGGGCACAGGCAGGCCCTAGAGGACTCACAAGTGAAGAACTTCAAGAATATTTTCTATCAGCCGCATGTAAAAGCAAACAATGGTTGCATGATAGCTTTCCTGTGTTATAGGATTTTCTCCACCTTTATTCCATGAGAAGTACTTTCCTTCCAGGCTGCCCTCACACATGACACACAGAAGCAGAGCTCTTGTGCAGGATGCTCTGTACCTGGTGCATCAGCAGAGCTGGTGGCTGAACCTCCTCCACCACCACCTTCAGGGCTGGCTACAACCTGCCTGTACTGTCTGAGCACCTGTGTGAGCTTGTCATTGGCCTGCAGGATCTCAGCTGGAAAACAGAAGGGGGAACAGAACATTAATGTTCTAACACATTGGGCATGGTTTAAAGGTGAATGGGGAAAGCTTTGCCAGCAGGGTAGCCAGTGCCTTAGCATTCCCCCTCTCAGATGAAGGGCTTACCCCACTTGTCAGATAAATCAGACACACCTAACTGCAGAGAAACCCAAGGACAGGGTTGTCTCTTACCTAGAGCCTCGTCATCCTCGACTGTCTCGCTGGCCAGGCGGAACAGCAGCGGCCGGAGCTTCTCACAGCGCTGAAACAGGGTCTGTGGAAGGAAATGCTTCACATCAGGAGGTCCCCAAGGCTCTCACACTCCTCTGTCCCTCTGACCATCTGTAAGTGATGCTACCTCTAGAAAAGAAAGATGCACTTTCTGCCCAGGTCCAGACAGAAGGTATAAATGCTGCATGTTTCTGCACTCTCAAAATCCACAGTAGCCAAGTACAGCCACTGGAACAAGGAGGCTTTGCTGGTACCTCCTCAGCAATTGCTTTCTCTCTATACATAAAGGCATAAGATAGATCTGTGTCAAATTACTCATTTTAAAAGAAAAAATATCCAGATTTGAATAGGTGGATCAGACTACTGGGAAGCATTTCAACCACGGGTTGCTGCTCCCCTCAGTGCCCGGCAGCTCTGCCCATGTGTGAGGAAGTGAGGAGGCACAGAGGGAGACACATTCCTAGGCTAACAACAGAGACTCTTCCATCTGCAGCAGCAGCCTCCCAACAGCAGCCAACTCCCAACTCCCAACTCTGCTGTCTCACACAGCCACAGGAAAAGTTCTCACCTACAAAAATTCAGTTGTTTGAAGTTTTTAAATTTGATTCTGACAGACATCCTGGTGGAATCTCAGGTGTTCAGAGGCCATAAAGTTATTCTGACAGCCCTGGTAGTGACATTAAACATTTCCTCAATTCACTGATATTTATGAGCAGACCACAAAGTCTGGACAGAAAAGGGGAATCAGGAACCACAGTACAAGGTGAAGAGCACACAGCTTTGAGCTCTGCTCAGGTCTCATCACACCCACCTAACCATGCTGGGGCTGCAGGGGTTCCCCGTGAGCTATGCCACTGCTGGAGGAAGAACCATTTCCTCATAAGACACCAGAAGGAGAGCAGCTAAGCTGGACAGAAGCTCCAGATGGCACAGCAGCAGATGGTTCCATTCCAGCTTCCATTACACTGACAGGAGGGGCCATTATTCATCAAATATATCGGAAACTGTTTCTGCCATGGTGGTGCCCTGCCTGGCAGAGCTGTGGGCACTGTGCTGCCCTTTGAATCCTGCTGCCCTGGGCATTCCCAGCCACTGCCAGACTAAAGAACCTCTTATGCAGGAAAAAACACCACTTACCTCTAGGGTCTCCTGGTCAGATTTGGATAATTCTTGTCTCTTGTAGTTTTCCAGCAATTCATCCATCCGTTTAGCATTCTCCGAAACCTCACTGATGGCATCCACTCTTCTGGACACCTTGGCTGACTTTTCCTGTTCCTTTGATGAAAAATGAAATAGAAGTGTATGATGACTGGGCTAATACAGACAGTGCATGTGCTCGGCCAGGTCACTCTGGATCACACTGGTGGGGGAGTTGTTTCCTACTAGTATCTTAATGCAGGGAGAGGAGGGAGAAGGCAGCAGGGAAGGATTCACCCCCAGGAGTTCTGGTGTCGGCACCACCCGCCTCCCTGGGCAGGCTGAGGACAGGAACCTCCTCCCCTCATTTCACCACAGGCACAAGTAAGGTTTCAAAATTAGAGCTGGGAGTTGATGGCTTCTGCCATACAGAAGGACACCCTCAGAACAACCATAGGGATGTTGTCAAACCAGACCAGATCTCCCATTTGTGCAGGGAAGTGAGGTGCCTTTCAGATGGGGAATGGGAACAGACACACCCTGCAGGCAAGAGGCAGCTCTGTACAGATGGGGCTCTTTTCCGTCTGGGAACCGAGTCTCTTTTTGGAAAATTTCTACCATTATTGCAGCACTACTGCCAGAATCCCACTAATGTGAAGTGTCCCACCATACAGGCTCCTGGGGACACGTTCCCTCCTCCTGACAATGGCATATTTTAGGGAAACCAAACCAAACAACCCAGTACTGTAACTTCAGAGTATCAAATAATGAAAATCATCCCTCCTCTGGGGCAGCATTATGGGGATCAGGTATAGAGGGCCCACTGCCAAAAACTGAACTGCCAAGTCATCCCCCTCCCCAGATGTAAACAGGGTGTCTGGCCCAAGGAGCTGCCCACCTCTCTGATGATGCTCTTGATCAGACGGTTGGCAGCCTGCAGGTCTGCAGGGTGGCTGCTCTTCAGAAGCTTTGCCAAGAGCTGTGGAGGGGAGAGCAGGGGACAGGCATGAGCAGCAGGCTGTGGGCACTGTGCTGCAGGCACACACCACAGAGGAGGTACAGAGGGCTGCAACAGTTCCTATAATCCTGGAAATACATTTCTCATCATCTAATCCAGATTATATTGTTGCTTCCTAGAGCTGCCTGCACACACTGTTTGGGAACAGACCTCTCTAGCTCTGTAGAACTTCTGTGAGACCTGGAGAAACCCTCCCTCAGGAAAGTTTAATAGCAACTGACATTTTTCTGTTAAAAAGTTCACTTTTTACTATGCAAAAATTTCTGACAAAGCATTAGAGCATTCTCTAGCTGTTCAGCAAGAAGCATTAGCATTTATCTGCAGACAGTCAGTTTGAAACAGCAACAGCCCCCAAAATATGACAGTATCTTCTCATCAGTATATACCAGAGGATGGGTAAGCAAGAAAACCTTCAGGTTTACCTTTGATTTCTCTTCAACTGTGTCAAAAATTGAATTCTGAGGTCTTGGAGAAGGGGGAGGTAAAATTTTGTCTTCTGGCACTTTTGGGTCTTCTTTTACAATCCCTGGAATGGGTGACAGTATTTGCTCAGTGATGTCTGAGCCGTTAAAACACCAATGCCCAACAGTGGTTTTGATTTTGCACCTATTTCCTTCACCCCTCCCCAGAATTTTACAGAATGAGATGGAGAAGCAGGAGTTGCCTTAGCACATGCCCAGACAAAAGACTTTCCTTACTCCCTTGATTTAGCACAGGCTAAATGAGATCTTCAGAAAATAACATTTGGATGTGCTGAGCTTTGGACAAGTTTCTGGGTGACAACTGCAGCAAGGACTATTAAATACAATGGAATGAATGAAAAATCCAGCTCAGGCTCTCTCTGAAGCCATTCCTCACAATCCTGGATGAGCATTCCAGTGCAAAGATCACCCTGAGAGTGTCCTGCACCTCTTCCCAGCACAACAGTGGCCAGCACTGTCTGAGTAGAGGCCTCAAGGCCAGCCTGAGCTCTGACTCAATGCAGCTGTTCTTTGGTAAATCTCTTTAAACAGTTACATGCATCTTAAGTACCCAACAGCCTTGTGAGCATGGCCTTTGTCCTTTCCTCCTTACACATGGCATTTTAGGAAAAAAGCTGAGTCACAAGTGAAGAGGACAGATGTCTGTGGTCTGAAAGCATGTGACTTGAAGGCTAAAAAGGAAACTGAAATAACAGAACTAAACCTTGTTTCTTCAGCATCTGATAAGCATCCCGGATTTTAACTTCCTGAGGAAACCAGACTGTCCAACTGAATATTACTTCTGTAACTCTTGACTTGACTTTTTCTGAAGACCAGGTTCCATAGTACTGAAAGGAAAATGAAAACGTAAAGACAAAGAAGATTAAACGCAAAACATTAGTGCCAGATGTGACGTTTGGGCCTAGCCCCTTGTGTGTGTGCAGTGACTGAGTGGCAAATGGATTCCTAACCCTTCACTCACAGTGTTGTCAACTGTGTATCTTGTGACACAGGAACCAGTGCTGAAATGCTGCTGAAGTCCAGCTCCCCTGCTGCTACCTAAGCTGATCCTGCCTGTTGAACAGGACTCAAACCCAGGCTGACCTTTGGCAGGAGGAAGCAAGGAGGAGAGCAGCCAGAGCACAAGGGTTTGAGGACAGAGCATAAGAAAACACAGGAGAGGCTCTGAGCAGCTCCTGGCATCCCTCTCCTCCACCATTTCCACAACTAAAGTTCTGTAAATCACTGCAAGGCAAAAGGGCCACAGACTGAGAGATCACAGCAACAAATGCAAGCTCCTGTAGAGTCCCAAACTGTCCCAGCAGAGAAGGGAGAAACCACAAAAGCTTTTCAGAGGAAGAGTCCCTGGCTTACATCTTTTACAGGGGAATTCACACCCAGTCCTTGTGCTTAGAGCCACAGAAGAAATTCTGCTCTACTTCTGTGTGAGACTAATTTTTTGTATCCAACACAAAATAAACAGTGTGTCCCATCTGCAATGTCCAGCATAACCACGACCACCTACCTTTGGGGAAAGCACTTTAATCAGCTCATTCAGAAACCTGAATTTTGCTATTTCATTATGAAATCTTTCACCACAGTTGTTCACACAGGTCTCCAGCACCTGCAGAAAACAAAAAGGTAGCAAGCAGAAGCTGTACACACAGGTTTGGGAAATTTCCAGGTTATTGCTGCCTCTCTTGGCATGTGGATGAGAGCACTTACTGTGAGAGCATGGAGAGCTTCCATCTCCTGAGGTGACTGTATTTTATGTGCCAGCAGCCGTGATGCAAGTGATGGGCTGGGGAGTAGAAGCAGCAGGTCAGACTGGGCACAAGTTCCCAGGAAAAAACAAGAGGCTGGTGAGGACATAGTGGCAGGACCTGCAGCCCCCTGGGTTGCAGTGGTGGATGTCAGAGATCCCAGTCTCTTAGATCCCAGTCTCTGGGATATGCCTCTGCAGCTTCTTTACTCTCTCAGGAGCAGCAGAGCTCAGAAGCAGTCCTGTCTGAAGGTTCCATTCCCCCCCAGCAGCCAGGGGAGCCCAGAGCCAACACAAAGAGCTGTCTGTCTGCCTTACCCTTCTGCCTCCAGCTTCACCTGCTCACAGAACTTCTGGATGCATTCCCAGTTTTCCTCAGGGATACTTGGGTCAGTGGCTTTATCTTACAGAGGGGGAACAGAAAAAAAAAAGAACAGGCTCAGTGCCAGCAGCACGTGCAAACATGTGGCACAGGAAGCAGCTCAGACCTCACACTGCTACCAACTGCTTTTTGGTAGAAGAGGCAGAAATGAAAGGCACAGGACGAGCAGGAAACAGCTGGTACTAAAATCTGCCTAAAACCAGCCCTGAGCACACCCAAGCCCAAGCCAGGTGACTGGGGTGTTGAAAGCGCAACAGCACGATGTTGCTTTTAGCATAGAGCAGTCAGGCAGCTCTCTCAGGACCAGACAGCAAACCTTGCCATGCCAGAACACAGTTTACCCTTTTACACCAGTGCCCACCCCAAAGCTCTGCCTGAATGGCAGAAAAGTCTTCTCCAGCTTTATCCACTCCCCCATTCAGTGCACAAGTGACTTGGTCAGGACTGGGGGGAGAGGATGGACAGGAAAGATGGGAAGCAGGAGAGATGCAGCAGGTTGAGACAGCACCTGAAGGGGTCCGTGGAGGAGACAGACCCTTCCCTATGGAGCTGCAGCTGCTCCAGTGCCCACCCAGCGCTGGAAGCAGCAGAGGAGCCAACAGCAAAGCCAACCCCTGCCCCGGCCCCACTCACTGAGCCACTGCTCCAGCTCCCTGGTGCCAGCCATGGGCTCCTGCTCTGCTCTGCTCTGCTCCGCCCAAAGCAGGAAGCAGATCCAGCTCCTGGCCAGCTTGGCCAAAGCAGGCAGCCCACACGAGTTTTTCCTGCCGTGGAAGTAAAATATTCCCCCCCCACCACCCCAACACTCCGCCCCTCCGGCTGCTCCTCCCCTCACTGGCGCGCAGGGCGAGCAGGCGTTGGTTAGGGCGGAACCAAAAGTCACCGCGTTAATTTAATCATTTAAAGGTCATCATCCAAAAGGGGGAGAAAAAAACAACCAACAATCCCAGTTTCCAGGTCAGGGATATTTTTAGCAGAACCACACGCATGACATGACACAGGGAGGAGAGTCCCCCTCTCCCAGCAGCTCACTCAGCCCAGCAGGACAACTGAGAGGGCAGCAGTTATATGACACATCTTATATATATATATAAATATACATCTTTATATTCTTCATATATTAAAATACCCTCCCCACAGCATTTGCTGGAGACCTGTGTAGTTGTAGCTGCAGGTACCCTGGTGGTGAAGCCCTCTCAAAAAGACTGATCACTTGAGATGAACCATGCTGCTGTCAGAACAGCATTACTTTCTGTCCATGTGGTCTGAATTTAAACACTGACAAAAGTCTCTTTCTCCCAGCCTGTACAAGATGAATGCAGGATGGACTTAAGCCTGTGTTTGGTTCCTCTACCAGGCCAAGTGGCTTATGTCACTGCAGATACATACACAGCTGGGTGATGCCTGCCTGGTCTAAAGCCCAGCTCATCTGACCACAGAAAATCCTGTTGAGATCCAACAGTCCAGGTCTAGGGCCATGACACGTGCTGCCCACACCACTCGAGCCCCGGGGTGGCTGGGGGTGTTGCTGCTGTCTCCTGTCAGCCAGACAGGGCTTTCTGGACTCGTGCACACACTTCTTGGGGTCCCAGAGTCACCATCATCTCCGCAACGCTCGGTCCGTGCTGCGAACACAGGAGGAGTCACTGAACAAATGGAAACTTACACTTCTCAGCACATGCTCATGCATCATCACAACGGAAATGACAGGGTGATCAGCTACCAGATTGCTGGTAGACCAAGGACAGGGGTTTTATGAGCAATCTGAAAACATGGGTTAGGGTTGGGTTTTTTCTCCTGAAGTAAAATGCTAACAATGGTCAAACTGACCCAGGACAGATGCCAGAGCCCGAGCCAGGGCTTGGCTTCGAAGGACTTTTATAAAACTTGGTTTTGAACTTTGTAACAGCAAATTGCACATAAAATCTCAGTTTTTCCCAAAAGGTACAACGTGCCAACACTCCCTGCAGCTGGCCCCGAGGTTTGTCTGACTTCAGCTTTGACCACATTC